GGAGCTTAACCCGCCAGACAACCTGCCTCCTGCCAGGATAAGGCCATATTAAAATATAGGAGATCACCAACTGAAACTCGTCCAGATCTATTTCTGGTGATGATTTAATGGCCTGTAACCAAAATTTGCTGCCATTACTGAGGAAAGCAAACTGCGTTCATTACCATCACGTCAAAAATCCAATGTTTCCAAAAAACACTACAAAAACTATGTTGCACTACAAGTCCACACGATACTGTAAAACAAAACACAGTCACTTAATACTTCTTCTCAGACGTGCTACATTCTCGAATACTTTAGAAGGCCTCAGATCTTTCATACTTCATCAAGCAGCACTTTTCTCCTTACTCCTTTTTGTCGATACACTTGCTGCTTGTATCTAAATTTGTTCATCGGCTATTTCTGAACGCGTGTAGGAAACTGGCTAATACAGATGTCTGGTGGGCAACAGATATTTATATGACCACCGCTACTAAAAAAAAACCCCATGATTCACAGCTCGGAGCATAATTCACACTATGGCATTTTAAGTTACCCATATATCTATTTTTTTTTTAAGTTGCAAGCACAGAAGTCAGACAAGCAGACCGTACTCTCCAAACCCCTGACCCCTTCTAGGGCATTTTAATGCACTCGCGTGTTATTTTTCTTATGGATATAACCGAGTATGCTCACCTGAAAAGGAAAAATGTTGTCAGCTCTATTCAAACTGTCTTCCATCCACGATTTTGGAGCAAAGGCTGAGCTGGGTCGAGCGTATTTCTGCAACTGGATATGATTACTTGCGAAATTCTTCTTTAAGGGCGAGATGGAGTTCAGGGGCGTTATCCCTCCGTTCAGTCCCCTGCGGTGGTCTCGGCCTTGGGACCCACCCCACCCACCATAGCCACCGCCACCAGGGCTCCATGAAGATGGTGTAGGCGATGGGCTTTGGTAGCTGCTCCATGGAGAAGGTGGCTTGTTAAGATTATTAGCCAAATGAGGCAATTGATTAAAAGCAGCATTTCTATGTGTGAATGGAGGTGGATGAGGACTTGCAGGAGACCTCCTCTGTTGCTGATGCTGATTGTGATGATGCTGAAAATGGGGGTGATGAGGGTGGTGTTGAGAGAGGGGTCCAATTTGGGGGGAAAAGCTACCACCAAAGCCAGGGCTGACGTGATGTGGAAAATTCTGAAACAGGAGAGCACCATTATTAGCTGAGGCAGTAGGGACCCCTCCCTGGTGAAAAAAACTTGCATCTTCATTGATGATTGTAGAAGAAGAAGGAGCTATAGCTGCAGACCAGTTACTAAAACCAGTCAGAGAAGATGCAGTGGATGTCAAGGGCTGCGTCGAAGTACCTAGCCCCGAAGCCTCCTGATAATCAAATCCTGTTAACACCGGCGATTCTATTCTTATTTTCTCCTTTCCATTGCCGTTCTCTGAAGAATTATCGCCCTGGTTTTCTTCAGTTTTAGCTTTCTCGGGTTCAGAGAGCATGCCTGCTTCCTGACTTTGACCGGGGGAAAGCTGCTGTTTTTCTAGGGACTCTTGCTTTTCCTGTTGCTGAGTTTTAGATTTTTCTGACCCCAGAATCTCATCCTGAATATTATGGGCAGCTGGAGCAGGAAAGAGCCAAGCTGACCCAGCACTACTGCCATTGGCAGCTGTGTTATTATTTATAAAAGCAGCAGGGCTGGGGGTTGCATTTTGATGATGGTGTGGAGGCTGCAGATGTGGATGAAATCTGACTGGAAAAGCTGACTTATTTCCAGTGTTGTTTTGCACTAACACTCCAAACCCGTAATCCCCCATTGAGTATAGTTAGGGTTTGAATCCTCCCTGTAAGAACAAGTCGATGTTTAGTGTTTCCCTCGTCCTGTTCTGAGGCGAGATTAGCAAGTATCCTGTTTTTAGCTAGATATTCCAGTTTCTCCCTCCACGCTGTTTATTTCAGATTTGGATGAAGATGTTTGTTTTTTGCAAAAGATAGATCTCTTCAACTATGTAAATGTGTCAATTTGTGTCCGTTTCCTTCCTTTGGCCAGGAGGAAGGGAAAAATAAATCTTTGGTTCACAAAATAAGAGGTTTCCTTTTTCTAAAGGAAATGCACAGCAACGAGAGAAAAAGCTTCTGGGGAATAAGGATAAAGAGATTCTAACTATCCTGTTTTTTTCCTCTTCAGCAGTCTTGACTCGCCCATAAATGAGTTAAGAGGAAAGGAAAAAAAAAAAAAATATACAATGACGTCTGGTCCCCCGACCCCTTGGCAGCAAAAAATAGATTTAAATCTGGAATAATTTAATACATCTCTATAATCTAATATATATTTGTGTCCTGTTCAAAAAGAGAGTCTTTGCTGTGGGTAAGGGAAAAATTTACCTCAGGATCTCAGCATTCAGAAGGGTGAAAAGGGGGAGTGAGTTACAGAAGAGGCTTTTTCCCGTGCTGCTGGGTTTAACCTATTATATTTAGTAATAATATACACTCTGTGTGTGTGTGTATGTGCGCGTGTGGTTGTTTAAAGGGGTAAGATCTTATCTCAGGAAATTAGTATTCTGTGTGTGTCGGGTGGGGAGTGAGTTGTGCAGGAGAAGGGTGGATTCTTGATGCTGCTCCTTTTGGGCTGGGTTTCTGAGCTCGCCAGAGTCGCTTCTTATTTACGATCCAATATTTGCGTGTCCTTCATAGGAGTCCTGGCTGGCCGAAGAGGAAGATTTTCATCTCAGAAATCAGCATTCAGCGTTCGGGAAAAGGGAAGGGAGGGGACAGCGAGTTGTGCAGGAGGAAGGGGAAGGAGATTTTCTTGCTCTCGCTGCTGCCGGGAGGGTGGTTTCTGGTGGGGGCTCGCCTCCTTCCACCGAGACAGGCGGGTTCCCCGCGGCCGCAGGCCGGGTGGA